TTAGGGTTGCCATAAGTCAGAAACAATTTGAAGGCACACAACAACAAATAAGCAAGCATGGTATTGTTGTCCGAGTGTCGGACTATGACTCCAGAGACCAGGGTCTGAATCCCTGCTCAACATGGAATCGTCCTGTTGGATGGAATCTCATCCTCAGAAGGAGGCACTGGCAAAAACCCTTCTGAACAAATCTGGCCAGGAACACCCCGTGATAGTTTCACCTTAGGGTTACCATGAAATGGCTTGAAAGCAGACAGCAACAACAACCACCGCCTCTAGTTGGGAATGAAATTAAAATTTTATGCCAACAATTTAGCAAGAACTGGCAATAGAAAACAGGGACTGTCCCTGCGTTTATGAGCAACTAAGACCTGTGCCCGAGGCTGGTTATGAGAAGATGCCTGCGGGCAATGGAGAAAAAAAAGAGATTATGGGTTCAGAGGCCGGGCATCAGGAAAAACAGGGTCAGAGAACAGACAAGAAAAAAAAATTGCAGGTAGTACAGTAAGGTTTCCATGCCAAGATTTAAAGACCAGGTGCCTGCTGGCTTTGCATCTTGAACTTCAACTTGGGGAAGGCAAGAGGTTGCATCAGTGTTTCTGGCTCCTGTATTTGCTTGCCTCTGTCATGGAGGGGTGTGTGAGCCAAGAAAAAGCATCATTGGATGGCAGCCGGTGGGCAGGACTGTGATGCAACTCTGGAGAGAAACAGTGCCATTGCAGAGAAATCAATTGCAGAAACAGAGAAGGAAAGGGAAGAGAGTATGCCGGAAAGATCCACTTGCAAGGAAGAGGATCCTGCTCACAGGCATGTAGGCAGCAACAAGGCGTGACAATTTGGGGTATCTGAAACAAGCCACTTGCCGACAATGGCAAGCCTGTTGAGTCACGGGTTCCGATTCCAAACCTGACAGGAAGGAACGAGAATGTGGCAAACTGTTCCTGTTTGAACAGGGCTGGCCTCCAATGCCGGGTCTCTGCGTCAGCACTTGTCCGATCTGAACTCTGGTGGGACAAAAAACACAACACAACGCAACACACACACACACACACAACCATTGTACTCTCTTGGCCTTTTTGGGTGGCTTCCAGAAGTATCTGGGAACAAAATGCAAAGAATTTTGTCAGTCCTCAGAAAAGGCTAGAAAATGGCATCCTGTTTCCTTGCAATTGCAAATTCAGATGGATTTGCAATTGCAAAGGAATAACTTGCCACCCAGCCTGACAAAATCCTTAGCAATTTTATTCCCAGATACAAAATCTGGCTCTTCATCTAGCCAACAGGATTGCAGCCAAGATCGAGGCCGATGAGGACAAACCGAGGAGCTGTGGGCTCAGATGAACTCTCACGATATGCAGGAATTCAAGGCATTTTCTTTAATAGAGTAAAAAAAAATATTATTATTATTATTATGATTTGTTTTGGATTTATTTCCTTTTTTTGGGTTGCACTCAGTTTAATGTTTCTTTTGTACTGGATGCTACAAATGTCTCAAGTTTCTTTTCTTAGTGTCTGTGGCATGTATTAATCATCTTGTTTCTCTTGCTGTATTTGTTTTTTCTTGTGTAAAACCTTTATCCAAACAAGGAAATGGCAGAACCTACTAGGAACAAATCTTGCCAAGAAAATCCTATGACAGGGTCACCTCAGGGGGATAAATCAGAAATGACTTAAAGGCACATAACAACAACAACTTTAATATATATGAAATCCACCCATACAGTAATAAATGCCATTATGTGGCATAGTGGTTTGAGTGTTGGACTCTGGAGACCAGGGTTCAGTTCCCTGCTTAGCCATGAAACCCACTGGGTGACCTTGGGCAAGTCACACTCTCTCAGCCTCAGGGGAAGGCAATGACAAACCTCCTCTGAACAACTCTTGCCAAGAAAACCCCATGATAGGTCACCATAAGTCAGAAACAACTTAAAAGTCACACAACAACAACAAACAAACAATGCTTTCATGATAATAAGGAAGGGCAGCAGTTTTTTGAGGAATGTGTCACAGGGAAGGACTGCAAGAACGAAATTGATCCATATACTGAAGTCAAATTCTTTTAAACTAAAGCCAGTCCACTTTCTGTAACCACTTGCCTTCACTGTTGCAAAACGATCACTTTTCAAACCATCTCCATCTTTGCTAAAATAACTCGCCTATCCATTTTCTGCACTGTTCATTTGCATTCACAACAGCCCTGCAAGGAAGACTACTGAAGGACCCTGACTTATGTCTCACAACTGCACTACAGAATAATCCGGTTTGACACCACTTTAACTGCTCTGGCTCAATGCTATGGAATTCTGGGAATTGAAGTCGGTTGTAGCACCAGGTGGGTGATTGTGGCACCAAGTAGCATTGAGCCAGGGCAGTTAAAGTGGTGTCAAACTGGATTATTTCTGCAGTGCAGATGCTGCCATAGTGAAGGTCAACCAAGCACTGTCATGGATAGTTGGCTTTTGATTCTGGATCTTTTGGAACTCAGATTGAGCCATGAATTTCTTTGCTTCGCTAGCCCTCTGGGACAAAAGGACAAATCCCTGACCATGGATCAATGCCAACATGCTCCGGAAACAGAAAGCATCAACTCCAGTTCTCCAATCCCTCAACAATTTCTCCTTTAGCTTACTAAGGAGTCCAAAGGTTTGCAGAAATAGAAAATGGGTTTCTTACTTATTGACTGTGACCAACTGGGTAGAAAAACCAACCTTTTCACATACATTTGTAAGTAGTGAAACCTCATCCCTCATTGAACAGTTCAAAGACGATAACCCTCATATGGTCAGCTTTTTATGGGAAAGAGTCTAAGGTTTTACAAAAAGAGAAAACTTTCTTATCTGTTAACAGTAACTAATAAACCAGGCTTCTAAGCAAACTTGGGAAGAAGAAATAACACCTCCTGCATCAAAAAAGTGTTTTGTTCCAGTGGAAATATATTTTATCTTTTATTTATTGCACTGGCAAGTTTCCAGATCTTACGAGGCTTTTCTTCAAAAATACATATTGGATGTGTTTCCATAGAATGGTAACCCAGAATCCTGGCTTGTTGTTCCCATTTAAAAGTCAGAGCCATCAATCAGGGTTTGTTCTAGACTTTACAAATCCTGGTTTGTTTGGGGTCTCAAGTTCCGACAACCTGCGAAATAAAACTCTTTTCAGTTCGTTTAGCAGTTTATGACAATGGTATGACTAAAGTGGGAATAAATAGGATGCATGTACTCGATCCATGAGAAGAGGCGTTTAAGAAATTAGTATTATTAGTAGTATTAATAGCAATAGTAGTAGTATTAGCAGCCGTTACTTCCAGTAACCCAGGACAATCTAAAATCCTGGTTTAGTGATGACTAGTTTCAGACTTAAATTACTACGTCTGTCCATTCACAAGTAAACCTGAAAGAGACCTAAACTCAGAGGAGTTCAATGAGACTGGTGTGCATGAGTTTTCAGGTTTAGGCACATTTGATCATTCAAATGTGTTGGGCTACAACTCCCATAATCCCCTAGTATTCCCTGTGTTAGGGAGAGCTGATGGAAATTTGGGGACAAAACATCTAGACAGCTAAATGTTCCCCTCCTTTCTTTATTTTTTTTTATTTTTGTTTGAATCAATGGAACAAATTACCCTTAACCCACTGATTCAAAAAAAAGTAAAGAATGGGAGTTGTAGTCCAACACATTTGAATACGAACCAGGCCTGATTCTGCTGGGCTTCCAAGAACAGACAGGATCTGATGACTTCAGAGATCCTGCCAGGAAAATGTGAATTTCACTGCAGTCTTTATATGGATCCACCTCATAAGCCAACACAAATTTTTAAGTATCAAGTGGATGACATAAAAGGTTGTGCTAGGAGGGGATGATGGGAGATGAAGTAATGGAGGAAAAGCGGGACTAATATATTTACATTCACATTTGCACAGATCTAGGGTACAACCAGGCAACATTTATAGCCATTTGGTACTATTTTAACTGCCATGCTTTCATCCTGTGGACTCCTGGGATCTACAGTTTGGTGATGTACTTAGAATTTTCTGCTAGAGAGGTCTATAGAAATTCCCATGAGCAACAGTTCCTTAGGTACTCTCAGGTCTAAAACACACTGCAGAAGTAATCCAGGTTGAGACCACCTTAACTGCCCTGGCTCAATGCTAGGCAATTCTGGGGACTGTAGTTTTGAGACCTCTCTGTCAGAGAACTCTGGTGCCACAATAAACTACAAATCCCAGGATTCCCTAGCACTGGATTGTTTCTGCAGTGTGTTTTGGACCTCAGAAGAGAAGGGTTAAAGATAAAATCAAGGTATCTAGAGAGCTGTAGTTCAGAGAAGAGTGGCCCAGACCATCCTAGCAGAGAATTTTAATTGCCTACACAAACTATAAATCCCAGGATTCCAGAGGCTGGAGCCATGACAATAGGGCAAAGCTGCTGTAACTGTGCAGAAACATCATTAGTCCTTTATACTGAAACTCAACTTGCTGTAAGGAAACCCAGTGATTCCCTATGTCCCTTCAACAACTCTACAACCAGGAAAAAGAAGTAAGCCAAGTTGCATAACAGCTAAAGATTGCAATAGTCAGAAATTCCACTATGTCCTTTGCATTCCTGGCAACCAGTAAAACTGTGTAATAACGCTACATTGATAATGATTTACTATTACAGTACTAGTAAACTTTCAACCATACCTGGCTAACCATAGCCACTGGTTGCCCATAATTCAAGCACAAGGTTGAATTGTAGTTTCTGGGCCCTATTAGAACCCATCATCCACCTGTCCACCCATCAGTCAAGCTAGAAGGGTGCAAAGCTTGGAAAAATTCACATTTTAGCCACGATAGCTGTGGATTCTGGAGGTTGTTAAAGGAGCCACATGGTGCAGTGTTTTGAGTGTTGGACTATGACTCTAGAGATCAGGGTTCGATTCCCAGCTCAGCCATGACCTTGAGCAAGTCACACGCTCTCAGCCTCAGGTGAAGGCAATGGCAAACCTCCTCTGAACAAATCTTACAAAGAAAACCCATGATAGGTTCGCCTTAGGGACGCCATAAGTCAGAAATGATTTGTAAGCACACAACAACAAATAAGCAAGCATGGTGCAGTGGTTTGAGTGTTGGACTGTGACTGGAGACCAAGGTTTGAATCCCTGCTCAACCATGGAAATCCACTGGGTAACCTTGGGCAAGTCACACTCTCTCATCCTCAGAGGGAGGCACTGGCAAAAACCCTTCTGAACAAGTCTTGCCAAGAAAACCCTGTGCTAGACCTTCTCAAATGTATTTCTCTCTCTCATTCGAAATCTTTCCTTCTTCTGAACTTTCCCCATCTGCAGTTCTCCTCCTAGGACCTTATCCCACGCTGCTCTCAAAAGTGGCAAGAAACC